AACAAAAGCATGGTTGTGTTCCCAGGACCAATGAAAAGCTCAATTTAATTGGAGCAGCCCTTTTCAATGGGGATCTGAGAGAAGTTAAGTCATACCAAAAAATGATTTGAGTGACTACATTCGCAATTCTCTCAAGGAAAATATGTAACTATCACTATTCTACAGGTACAGAACACAAGTTAATTTGTTACTAAGTTAATTTTGTTATAGGTTTTTTAAACTCTCAAGGTTTACTTTCTCGGTTGAAAAGGACTAGACTGGAGTGCAACATATATGAACAAAAGTGAGCAGAAATGCTACTTTAACTGGGTTATGGTTACAAAGGGCTGATTTGACTAGAAGGTAAGGCTACTTCAAGTGGCCAGGAAGGAGGTAAAAGTGATCAAACATCTACTTCAGAAAGAACAACCAACCCAACTGTAAAAGAGTAGAGAGAAATACCCATGAAGAGGTCACAGACTAGGCAAGAGAGCCTGCAGCATGCACTGGGGATAGAACTATTAAGAAGCACATGGAAATGACATGACTAAATCACAATGGTCAGCAGGTTCAGGTGAAGGCTTTAGATGAAGATTTATAGCAAGTCACCCCCAGAAAGACTTGAAACTAAGAAAATAAGCAAAAAGCCAAAAATAACAAGCTTCCAGAGAAGAAATAATCCCAGGGTTGTAGGGATAATTTCTTCTTAAGGACAAGAGTTACAGCAACAGACTTAAGATAGCTGAAACTAAAATTTGGGAAAACAAATTCATTTATTTACTTATTTACTCAATATGTGTAATTTATTGTATGTACTATTTCTTAATAAAATTGTTTTTAAAATTCCCACTTGTTCACCCTCAAGCTCTGAATGGGGGAAGGGAAGATATCCCAAACTAAAGTAAAAATAATCTCCAGTGATTTCCTGCAGAACCACACTCAATGGCTGGAGTAGCTCAAGCCATAGGAGCACCTGCCTAGCAAGCATGAGGCCCTGAGTTCAGTTCAAACCCCAGTGCTGAAAAAAAAAAAAAACACAAACAAAAAAGCCACACCACACTCAAGAAAGTAATCTATACACTAAACATAGTACAAACCATTAAGAGAAAGAAGTATTTAAAGATAAATTTGGAAGTGCCCATAAAAAGGACAAAGACACTATTTATAATCTCAAAGATTAAAGCATTCTTTTTCCTAGGGTCTCTGAGAATAATTTGAAGACACACTCTTCTTAAATGAGTTCAGCCTCCACTGGTTGAGAGACTATTAATATTTAGATTTGTTCCTAAAGATGTATAGGAAACTCTATCAAGTCTTTTTCTTTTTAGAAATGTACTTTTCCAATGTAATAACATCAATGATGCTCAAACAAACTTCCTGAAGGGAAACAAATAGACCAAGCTAGAATCCTATTAGGCAAAGTTCCTTCATTTTTTCTCGAATTTATAATTCAAATTTAAATTCTTGTGTGTGTGTACTCACTTTGGTAACACATATACTAAATTCTTTTCTTGTGACAGGGTCTCACTAGGAAGCCTAGGCTTTGCTTGGAATTCCTGTATCTGCCCCTCCCACAGTGTTGGGTTTATAGCTGTGTGTCACCAAGCCCACCTAAATTCTTCTGGCTATAAAACTGAAGGGGGAAAAATTACAGATTACCCTTTAGCAATTTCCATCATCAGAACCCAAGGGAGGCATCGTGTAGTTTCACATGAGGAGACAAAGCAGTAACAGTGAGAAAGGTTGAAGAGCATTCTGAACCTCTAAGAGTCCAGGCAAGAAACAAGTAGTTACCAGAACAGCCTATAGGAGCTAGGGATACAGCTTAGTGGGAAAGCACTTGCCTCAAAGCCTCAAACAAAAGAATAGAACAGACTACGGACTCAAAAGACTGCCTACCCTAGGTAAAAGAATTGTGTTAATTGTGTTCAGATTTAAACTATTTCATCTAATTCTGTGCACCAGAGAAGTATTTTTACCTACTTTTTCTAAATGCAGGCACATAGGCTGACTCACTTAGCATTAACTTCCACCTACTAGGCCAGTCCCCCAAGAGAAACATAATGGAGCCCTTCCTTGACAGGTAACCTCCCCATCTTTTAAAATACCTAGTTGTCTTCATAAATGGACCAACACTAAAATAAATAGAAACTTGAAACCAAAACATGGCTATAAATAAGAAAACTGAATAGTGGTTCTATCTGTTCTACTGGTAGCAAGGTTTTATTGAAAAGGAAGAGAATGCCATCTTTTTCTGATTCAATTTGCTTTATGAATTATTCTAGGGGACAGGCGTGATTGTACCCACCTGTAATCCCAGCAAATGGGAGGTAGAGGTAAGAGGATCACAATCTAAGGCCTTCCCTAGGAAAAAAGTGCGCAACCCTATCTGAAAAATAAACTAAAGCAAAAAGGGCTGGGGGCATGGCTCAATAGGTAGAGTTCTTGATTAGCAAGCATAAGACCCTGAATTCAAACCCCAGGACTACCAAAAATAACTTTATCGAGCTTCATTTTCCCTTATACTACCTTTCCCTTATAACACTCTGTAATTAATGCTAAATCAGCATAATGCAAACTGTTCTTGCACAGAAATTTTAATGATTCACATACTTGACATTTTAAAACACTTCAAAGATTTTATACAATTGTGCCATTCTATCAGGAGAGGTTAACAGTTCAGTGTCCTATACAGCACTGAAGGCAGTGTTTAGTGTAGTTTAACACTATAGTCTATTGCTGATTGCATGTATTTCACTTTTGACTTACCTACCTGCAAACCATGAGCCTTACCAATGCTACAGTAATGGTTACATTTTAAAATCTGTCTTCATATATATGCACATTAAAAAACAATCTCCTTGAAAAGATAAAATTCCTATTCCTTACCTGATTTATCCAAAAGGTAAATAGAGAAAGTTTGAAAAATACTGTGTGAAGAAAAAAGTGTGGGACTTTTGGTAAAATGTGGCAAGTTCTGGTTCCAAAATCATGAGCAACTGAACATTTATATCGGTCTAAAACTATGCTAGGGTGACAGGTATGTACCACCATACCTCATCTATGTACTATGTTTTAAAAGAAAAAAGCAATGAAGGATAGGCCATGAGCAGGGAGAAAGAAGAAGGGAAGAACATTCCAAACAATGAGAGGAAGGGAGAAGTCAAAAGGATGCTGAAGAGACCAGCCACGTGTGGCAATGCCCTGTCTTTGAGTAGCTGGGGATTCAAACACTGAGATATGGTGGAGGAAAACTAAGATGAAAATTAAGCGAGATAGCCCAGTTTTATTCAAAGCTAAGCTATTAATATGTTGAGTGACATGAAATCATAATTGAAAGAAAACAAAAAGATCTCCCAGATACTCTCTAAGGGTCCTTTTAGGAACTTAAGATAGTTCAATAACCTGTACATTTTCTCAATATTATAGATAAGACCAAATGTGAGGGGAATAAGCAATCCAAACTCAACTTAAGGAAACAACTGGATGCATCCAAATAGAGAGGAAGCACCTGACTAGTAACCGTAGCAAGTGTGAGGCCCTGAGTTCAAGCCCCAGTACCACAAAAAATTTCTACCCCAAATAGAGAGAGGAAAAAAATGACAGGAGCCAATCTGAGGCTCTGCATTTTTAGATTTTCATTTATAAAGCAGACACTGGGATGCACAATAAGCCCTGAAACAAACACAGAAAACACTGCATTGCAACACCCTGGATCTTGGTTTCAGCATTGCCCCTCAGAAAAAAACAAAATAAAAGCTAATACTGGTCTTTCACAAATCTTTAGGATATTAGCTAAAAATTTTTTTTATTTTCAAATTAGTTTTCAATACACACTTGAATATGCACCTGGATCTGGAATTTGTCTTGTAGATTTAATAAACAGTGAGTACCAAATATTAAAGGCCCCCTCAGGCTCAGAAACAACCAGCCAGCAACATCATCATCATCCAAACAAAGACTACAGGACTTGTCCATTAATTCTGCAACTCTCCTCTGGGCAAGCTTCTCTATCCTAATTAGAAAGTTAAGTAGAATTAACTATTTCTAGGGGCTAGGCAGTAAGACCCTTGAAAAGATGCAGAAAAACTGAGGAACACAAGCAAAAAATGTGAGAATACAAAAGAACTGGCAGAATTAACTGGCCAATGTGAGCCAGAGACCCCATGGTTACTACTACACAGTGTCCACGCTGAATGTGTCACAGCCAGATTGTTTGTGATGGGCTTAACAGTATGGCTTCAAAGTCTGTACTCCACACTTAACAAAGACAAAGCATCAGGACAAATTATGTCTAAAAATAAACAATTACGTGCAACAATAAATGAAAGCAACTAATCTGGGAAGATTTTCCCAACTCAATAGTTTTTTTTTTTAAGTAAACCCTTTCTAGAATGGCAATTAGTTACTATCTAAATCCATTAACAACATGAAATAAACACACTTATATTTCACAATGAGAAATCTAAGTAAAATCTATTTTCTGAGAGGAAGAAAAGTTATAAAAATGGGTGGGAAAGGAAGACTAAAACATATTACATAATATTTTTGGTTTTAAACTCTGTAGGGCCACAATTATAAAATATAATTAAATAATGTTATGATACAGTAAAGCAGTGTGAGCCACAAGGGTGTAAAGATCTATTTCCAGGGGTAGTAATGACCCCATCATTGTATGCACATATGAATAAAGGAAATTAAAAAAAAAAAGATCTATTTGCTCTGATATGGCAAACTACTTCAAACTCCAACTTTCTACCTCCCACTTTCCTAATCCAGGAAGAATTAGAGGTTGTCAGGGGAAACCAGAAAACAGATAACCATGTTATTAGATCAATAGCCTTAACAATATACATAATTTAGAGTCAAGAGGCTCTGCTCTGAGGTCTGCAACACAGGGACTCTCAAAGCATTGGTAGAATAACAACTGCCATTTCCTTGTAAATCAGAGATCGTTTAAAATTTATTTGTAAATTCTGAGCTGTGAGCTAGATAAATGCTATGAATTTTGGAAAACTTACCTGATTGCAGTGTTCTGTGTCAGATCCCGTAACATGGGAACAGGAGAACATACTATTCTAAAGGAAAACAAGAGAAGAAACATCTGTTTCTAAATGTTAAGCTTTCAATAGAAGTAAGATGCTGCTATGTTTGCTAGGCTCTAGAAAAATCATTAAAGTGCACTAACAAAAACAAAACATGACCGACTTCCTTGTTTAGCATCTCATAAACAGAAAACAATTATAGGCAAAGGGCTTATGTCACAATTAACAAAACAAACAAATAAAAATAAATATAAAAAACCTTCCCCCCAATCTGGAAAAGAAAGGAAATGGATTAACCAATAAAAACAGAACTGATTCCTCAGAAATCAGAAAAGCCAAATGATTAATAATTAACCATAAGATATTTAGCCTTATTAGCAATTAGAGAAACTCAACTATAAACTACAAGAAGCCAATAAGCACCCAGCAGATTGACAAAAATTAAAGCTGTGACAATGCCCCAAGGGTTTGCTAGAACACAGAACAAGATCTCTCACAAACTGCTAATATGATTGTAATATAATGTAACCACTTTGAAAAACATCCAATATTTATCTACAAAAGAAGAAGATACACAAACATTATGACCACCAATTCCATTTGTGAGTATGTACCCATGAGTAGCAGCTCCCAAACTCTGGTCTCTGAACCATTTTACACTCTTAAAATGGAGAACCTCAAAGAACTTTTGTTTATGTTGACTGTCAATGTTTGCCTATTAAAAATTAAAACTAAAAAATTTTTAAAATACCAAATCAAAAGCAAACCTATTGTGTGGTAATATAAATGCATTTTAATGAATAAAAGCTATACTTTATAAAGCAAAGCAAAGAAAAATGAGAAAAGTATCACTGTTTTTACATTTTTGATACAGTAAAGATCTGGCTTAGTATCTTACAACTAGATTTTCTTCTTTGCTTCTGATTCCACCTCTTCAGACATTATATTACATCATCCTCTGAAAACTCCAATGTGCACTCAAGAAAGAAACAGTGAGAAAAGCCAGTAACACCATAATATCAGTAATATTATAAAAATAGTTTTGACCATGTGAGTGCCCTGAAGAGTTTTAGGGACGCCAAGAAATCCCCACACAAGTTAACATGGCTGGTATATATTGATGAGCTAGACTTTGAATCCAAGCCTTTTTTAGTTCAGCATGGTTGTGCTTTACATATAATCTTCTCATCATTACTAGGAAACAAAACATTAGACAAATGAAAAATGCTAACTAAATTTCCTTCCACTTGCTTTGATTATAAATAAATGGATGCTTACTGATCTGGAAGAATGGCTTCTTCATCCAAAGAAAATTTTCCTTGAATCCCATGACACAATTCAGGGGGTACATCTACCGGCTGTGAAAAAATGTATTACTGATTACCTATGGAAGATCATGTACACTTACATTCATAGGAATATTATCTTAAGAGCCAAAAGGTGGAAATTACCCAAGTCTCTATCAACAGATAAATAGATAAACAAAACATGCTATATACACATTAATAGCAAATTGTTCAGTCATAAAAGAAATGAAGTTTTGGCACATGCCACACCACAAATTCTAAGTGGCTCACACATGTAATCCTAGCTTCTCAGGAGGCAGAGATCAGGAGGATCGTGGTTCAAAGCCAGCCTGGGTAAATGGTTTGTGAGTCCTATCTCAAAAACATCCTTCCCAAAAAGGGGGTGGTGGAGTGGCTCAAGGGGTAGGCCTGAGTTCAAGTCCCAGTACCAGAAAAAAAAAAAAAGCATTGTAAGTGAAATAAGCCAGACACAAAGGACAAATATTGTTTGATTCCACTTACATACAGTACCAAGAATAGGCAAATTCAGAGACAGAAAGCACCATGTCTAATGGGTACAGAATTTCTGTATGGGTAGATAAAAAAAGTTCAAGACATAGTGAAGATGGCTGCATAAAACCACGAACATACTTATTGTCACAGAATTTTACTAAAAAAATCTACACACACACACACACACACACACACATATACACACATACATGCATACACCATACCTCTGTGGAACCTGTTTGGTATAGCTCTAAAATGAAGTCGTGGAGTGGGTGATGTTTCCCCACAAACAAGACATCCCCTCCGAGGCTGTTTCTTCTGTCTGAGGAGAAAGCAATGAATGAATAAGACCACACATCAAGCAGTTATATCTGTAAGAAACATTTTTAGGGGAATACAACAAAGGCATGCATCTATATTTTAAAACTTAATTTTAGTATGAATTTTATGAAAAATAGTTTAAAAGCAGTACGATTAAATGTAGGATGGCATGTCTCCATGGAAGAAAAATATTCTGACGACAAAGTTCAAAAGACCAGTGACTATCAAAAGAGGTATCACTGAAAGATAAATATATTACAAGATAAAGGATAAGGTTTTCTTATTTATGAAGTGCTCAATTTCTTAATATAAGAAAAAAAATTCCCTAAGGAATTTTATAAAGACAGCTGACAGAAAACTTGTTTCTTACACTTATATTATTATTAAGTAACTTTCTCAGAGATAACCATTACAATTTCCTTCCCCATCAAAATTTATTGTAAAATGCTGCTTTTTATGTAAAATAACATTTTAAGTTAGCACTCAAAAAGAACAAATGCTTGTTTCACCCTAATCTTTCAAGCAAAGTTAAATTTGGGGACAACAGAAAGTAAATGGCAGGTAGAGGAAATGAATGATGCCCCCCAAGCTGGGAACACCATGTAAGAATCAAAAAGTCAAAGGAGCCAGGTGCTGGTGGCTCATGCCTGTAATCCTTAGCTACTCAGGAGACAGAGATCTGGAGGATTGTGGTTTGAAGCTAGCCAGGGCAAACGGTTCATGAGACCCGATCTCAACAAACCCTTCACAGACACACACAGACACACACACACACATACACACACAAAAGAGGGCTGATGGAGTGGCTCAAGGCGAAGACCCTGAGTGAAGCCTCAGTAGTGCTAAAAAAAGGTCAAAGGAAATTCTTGCATTCTTGCAATGTCACTTTTGAGTACTACTCAAATTACAGATCATAGAAGAAAAGTTAACATTAAAAGTAAATTACTCACTAGAAGTAAAATCAGTGATTTATACCCCCTTTAGGAAAAACCTGACCAATGAGATGGGAAAAAAAGTTGAATTTTACACAAAAATGTGAAGTTTATGTTACACACTTAATGCTGACTAAGTGGCAGTATAATTCTTACTCTCTTCCGGAGTGAGGTCTGGGTAGACTTCTTCTAGGGCAGCTCGCAGCCTTCGCTCATCCACAAACGGCAACAGAGCAACACCTGGGGAAACCAAAAAATATACACCTCCCAGCTTTTAGATCACCTCATTCCAACTTATTATCCAATTTTCCAAACACTTCTAGTAGACAATCACTGTTGATATTAAGACATTTTGTAACTGAACTCCATCTTGCAATTTAGCCAAAACTTAGATGCAAATATTTTTGTATGTGGGGGTAGAAGAAAAAAATCTCCACATTTTTCATACTTAAAATGGCTCATTTGGAAAATCATGTTTTTGAGTCTTTGTAGTGATATGTTTTCAGTGAAACGAAAAAGTGGCCACATGGCCACCAATCTATAGTCTTGCCTTACTCATTAAAATGTCCTCAAACAAGCTGGCTATCTTCCTAGGCCTTGTTTCTTTTGTAAAAATAAGATCATTCAAATAAAATACTAAGAAGTTTGATTCAACTAGAATCCATGGAAAAGTCTCTTCTAGCTCCAAAATTCCATAGTACTCTGTTTATACTTTATGGCCTACTAACTAATTTATACACAAAAATTCTCAAGAGACTTGCTTAAATAACTTAGGGGTGAAGAACAGAACAGGATATTTATGTGAAGGCTGAAAATGATCATCTAGAGTATGCTATAATTAAGGTGATTACTTTATTTGGACCTATACACATCATTTTCAAGGAACTTTATCACTAATACAATACCTGTTACTAGAAAAACAAAGATGTCAAGGCATAAATATATTTTGCTATTATACACCAGAAACAGTAGTTTGGTTAATTAAAACAAATCACAAGTTTAAATGCTAAGTAGAACAAAATCATTTTGAAACTACTGTCATTCAAAACTGCATTTGAAAATTATAAGACTTCCAAAGTTGCCATTAATTATTTACTACTGTATTTTTCAAATAAGAAAATATTTAAATCTTACTACTTAGTAAGCTAGAATTTTTTAAGTTAAAAAGAAACTAAGAGCCAGGAGCCGATGGCTCATGCCTGTAATCCTAGCTACTCTGGAGGCAGAGATCAGGAGGATAGTGGTTTGAAGTCAGCCCAGGCATATAGTTCAAGAAAGAGACCCTATCTCGAAAAAAATCCTTCACCAAAAAAAAGGGTCTGGTGTAGTGGCTCAAGGTGCAGACCCTAAGTTGAAAGGGAAAAGGAAAGGAAGAAAGAAAGAAAGGAAGAAAGAAAGACACTAAGTTCTAGTATGAATTTTTAAGAGTCTAAAAGAAGTGATGTAAAAAATATTAGTATTTATCATTGAGTCAGGCTATTTCAATTACGTAAATACTTCCATGGAAACTAGGGAGTTGCTCAAGTTATTTTAGTCATATAATTAGGATAAATGAGAAATTACAACATCTAGCTTTCATTTTTCTGTCTATTAGATTTAGAATCTAAAATAAATTATCTGCGACTTTCCTACAATATTAACCTCAGAAGCTGAATCTCATAAATAAGCAACTTGCAGTGCTACTAATAGCAATAAAATTATTAACCAATAAAATCAATCTTGCTGACCAGGATAGAAAAGAATGCTTTACTTCCAGAGATGCTACAAATTGTGCTTCAGTGTGATGATAGTAAAAATAAGAACAGCAGCTACTGATCTCTGAACCCTTAAAATGTTCCATGAATTACCTCACTTAACCCCCTTGATCATCCAAAGACAGTTAGGTTAGGTTCGGGTAAACAGTAGCTTCAAATGTGAGCTCTACAGTCACACTCTTACGGGTTCAGATCTTGGCTCTGTCATTGTGACTTTGATCAAATTGCTTAAATTCTCTGTTCATATATAAAATATACAGCCATCAAAACTACTATGCTGCTGGGAGCAGTAATCCTAACTACTCAAGAGCATTGCAGTTGGAAGCCAGCACCGGGCAAAGAGTTTGTGAGGTCCTGTCTCCAAAAAATCCTATCACAAAAAAGGGCTGGCAGAGTGGCTCAAGTGGTAGAATGCCTGCCTAGAAGCGTGAGGCCCTGAGTTCAAACCCTAGTGACACAAAAAAAATAACAATAATAAATGAAAACTACTGTGGTTTAGGGGCTGGAGGTATGGCTCAATCAGCAGAGCACCTGCTCTGCAATTGTAATGCCTTGAGTTCAAAACTCCCAGTCCCACCAAACAAACAAAAAGCCAAACTACTATGCTATATATACTAGGCAAACTTTACAAAACCACAATATTGGTATGAATTAAATGTAATGTTGATAACTATACACATTCAAAAATGTGGAAAAACTACCCAGCTATATTTTACCTTCCTATCATTTTAAGATGTACTCAACTCAGAAAGAACTTAAAAAGTACTGTATTATGACTATAATTACTAAGTTTTTAAAATATTTATGGGAGAATAATTATATTTCCTAATAGTACTAAATTTTAGCTCAAAAACTTTTTTGTTATAGAACCTAAGTGAAAGTATTAATATACAATATGTAAAAGACAAAAATGTTAAAGATCAAATTTTAAATGTATAATGAAATACATATGGATTCTAAAGCCAAAACAATCCTGAGCAAGAATAAAATTGGGAGTTACAATTTCTGACAACATAACTTACTATAAAGCTACAGTATTAAGATAGTAGAGTACTGGCATAAGGACAGACATAAAATAATGAAATAGATTAGAGAGCCAGAAATAAACATACATATATGACCAACTGATTTGCAACAAGAGAGCCAAGATCACTCAAGGGGAAAAGGTTTTCTCAACAATTGATACAAAGAAAATAATTGATGAATAAGTATTTCATAAAACCAAGCAAGGACTTCATTATTTATTTATTTAACAAACACATCAATGTATTTACTCATTAATGTACTATTTTTGCATTACTACCCCCCATTTTTCTGTGCTTCCTCTCTCTTTAATCAGAACAGCTCCACAAAGCTCCTTTGAAAGTTATCTAGGACTCAAATCCATTTCCATATGATAAAATATGACTGCAGCATGCGACACTTCGTGTAACTCCAATCAGTGGGGTGCATTTCCCACTACTGTTCCATTAAGTAGTATGAAATTACTTCTATATGTACACCAAAAACCAACCTTAAAACCTCTTAAAATAGTAATTTTTCCAATTTGTAAATTATTGTTATTTATGCCCTTCTGGCTCATGATTCTCTTTAATTCATTTTACTGGTTGGTCATCCTCACAACAGGGAATAATCAGGAGAAAAGTGAAAACATAGTTTTATCAGATGTGCTTACTATCCTAGAAAAACCTATGGTGGAAGAACAGGTTAAAATGATTTGCCAAAAGGAGATCTGGTGTGAAACAACAGCTGGCTTACTGGTTCTCTGCAAGGGAGATTTCTTTAGCATATTTGACATTCAATCACCACCATTTGTTGAATGGTGAATAGCACCACAAATTTAGTACTAATCTTATACTACCATTTCTATAAAATCTGTTAATAAAAGGAATAAGAAAAACAGGTAATGACCAATGCCAAGTATTTAACTAAAAGTTTCCAGTATATTTTTCACAAGTTTCCATGGAGTATGAGTAAATCTCTGTGTGGATATGACCGTATTTCTTTCTCAGCAACTTTGAAAGGTGATACAAACCACTGATTGAATGGGACAAGTGTCACCGATTAATCCCAAGGAGACAAAAGCAATAATTACTAATGTATTTCAACCCAAGTTACTATTTATCAGAATGCTACTATTAAAATTATTAATCATTGCTAACTGGTGAGATGGACAACAAATATAAATGTTTTACATATAATTCTGTAAATACTGTTTCTTCTCATAAGTCATGGCTGCTCACTTTTATCTAAAATTTTTAACAAAAAAGGAATAATGTCTAAATTTTACCTTGCCATGCATATTTCTTCCCATTTAAATCAATAGCAAAATCTTCAGGGTAGAAGTCAATTATACTAGAATCCTGTATCAAGGAGAAAAGTAAAGAATCAAAACAACAGGCACACAGCTCTGTTACCAAGAATTTGATATGACTGCAGTTCAATTTATTAGGCCTGATGAGGAAATAAGGTAAATTTCTTTTAAAAACTGTCAAGGGGGTTGAAAAAATGTTGAGATATGAAGTCATTAATTGTGGATGGGTAGATGTAGTAAAACAAAATGAATAATATTATTTATTTACATATTTATTTTTGTGGTACTGGAGTTTGTGTTCAGGACCTTGCATTTGCAAGCACTCTATCATTTGAGCCATGCCCCCATCCCTTTTTACATTTTTAGTTTGTTTTCCAGATAGGGTCTTGCTTTTTGCTTGGGTCAGACTCAGACAGTGATCCTTCTACTTTCCTATCTATGGCTTCCCACATAGCTGGGAACACACACCCCACGTTCAACTTATATAGAGATGGGGGTCTTGATAATTTTTTGCCTGGGATCGTCTCAAATTTCAATCCTTCTGATCTCTACTTCCCTGGTATTACAGGTATGAGTCATACCTGTCCACTATTTATCTTTTAAATAAAATTGTTAAAGCAGGCATGGAGGCTCACACCTGTAATCCTAGCTACTTGGGAGGGAGAGATCAGAGTAATTGAGGTTTGAAGACAACCCATGCAAAAAGTTAGCAAGACCTCATCTCAATCATACGCTGGGCATAGTGGAATGTGCCTGTTTCCAGCTATGCAGGAAACACAAATAGGAAGATCATGGCTGGTCCAGGCAAAACAGGAGAGCCTATCTAAAACCTAACAACAAAAACATGCAAAAAGTGCTAGGGGCATGGCTCAAGTGGTAGATAGGTGACCTAGCAAGCGTGAGGCCCTGACTTCAAACCCCCGTACCACTTAAAAAAAAAGAAAAGTAATTTTAGAACTGATAATTGTGGGCCACAGGCAGTAAAGAGTTTCAATTACTGTAATAATTCCTATTTCCTGGCTGGGTTTCACTTTTTTCAGTTACCACACAAAACAAGCTCAAAGGTGATTTTAGGCAAGCCATACTTTTGAGCTCTAGAAGCCATTATACATGAATAGAACAAATAAAAAAGACTTGAGGGTAGTCTGTAAAGAAATCAATTTTATTTATTAGGTAAGATACTTAGAGCAAAAGAAACCCAGAATAAAAAGCATATATATACAGAAAGAACTCAAATAACTTTGTTTCTGTACTTCAGTATTTTACTATGAGATGTGACTAATGTATTAAAATAAAAGACAAAAACCTAGCCACCAACCCACTTAAAATACTAAGACTCACAGGATCACTCATGAGCTTCCGCCATGTTGGAGGTAGAAAGTTACCACTTGCCGCAGGAAAAACTCCCATAAGTTGTTCTAGTGGCTTAAACTGCAAGAAAGAAAAAAGCTAAAGACCCACAAATTATTATCTAATCCAAATTTCTATTTATTTCATCCACTCTAACTAATGAAGCTTACCGGTTTTGTACCTTTCTCAAAATCAGAAGGCATGTCTGCAATACCTTCAAAGTCTGAAGCAAATGGTGCATAATGGAATGGGTAATACCACTTCCAGGAAGCACAGCCCTATAATCATTAAAAACAACAAAAACCTATGTTAATAATGGACACAGTAAAAAAAAAAAAAAAAAAAAAAAAAAACACCACTACTGACCTATAATATTCTATTTATAAAACATGACTTCTGGTATACAGTCCCCTGTATTAAGTTTTTTCCAGGAGTCCTTAAAATATTTTCAATTAAATATGAACTTTCTGTTCCTTATCAGTGGTACCTTGACTTGAAAAATACTGGAAAACATCTTTAGTAGTTAGCACTACTGATTCACAAACACAAATATACTAGATGACATTCTGCAACTCTAGAGCTGCCTGTTACCAAATAAAACCAAGAGCAGCTACAGTCGGCATTTACTGAGAAAGATGATGACTGAGGACATCATTGGAACAGCGGTTGGGTGTTAAACAGCCAAATGTTTAATTTTACAATTCACATTATTACATTTTCATGTGGTAACTTTTTTTGAACTACAAAAAATCTGAGTAAACATAACAAAAAAGACAACAAAAACAAGTTATGAGAAAGACATGCCTTCTGACCTCTTTTGAATCTGTACTTTAAAATCTCAAAAGTAGTAGTAAAACATGAAAGTAGGATATTTTATAGCCAGTACTTAGTACATTATGTTTATTATCTACTTACCAAATAACTATCTCTCCCCAGTCACACAAAGCTTAACTTGGTTTGCTTTCTGAGCATGGAACCAGCTATTATACAGTGTTATAATCCTTAGTATGTCTACCTAATCTCTCACCAATGTGACGCAAAAATGTTTAAGCCAAATGCCAATCAGTTTAATTAGAACTCACTTTGTGCAGTATCATTACATTATGGAAGAGATGTTACTATTAAAATTCCTTTCAAATTCTTATTTGGTATCTTCCAGGTTTTGTCCTTTGCTCAATTATTTATTGACTGCCAATTAGTCACCCAGTTATTTCAATGTTCTGCTTCAAAAAAACAAAAACACTGTGGGGTACTGGTGACTCATGCGTGTAATCCTAGCTACTCAAGACGCAGAAATCAGGAGGATTACAGTTTCAAGCCAACCCAGGGCAAACAGTTCAAGAGACTCTTTCTTGAAAATAGTCATCACAAAGAAGGGCTGGTGAAGTGGCTCAAGATGTAGGACTTGAGTGCAAACCCAGTACCACAAAACAAAAAACAAACAAAAAACCACACTAAATCTTAAGCATATTAAAAGACAAAATTTAGTCAACCATACTACTTGATGTTGAAAATCCTTTAACACAACAAAAGCTAGCTTCATTCATATATTAATACCTAAGGAGCTTCCAAGTCTACAAATATTATTTATGGAAACAAATTTCCTTTTTAATAGAAACGTTAAAAAAATTAAGCTGGGTTTTATTTCAGGATATTCAATATTACGTCGTCTCCTTTTTTTTTTTTTCTAAAGTGGGACTGGGGTTTGAATTCAGGGCTTCGCACTTGCCAAGCAGGCACCCTATTGCTTGAGCCATACCTCCAGTTCACTTTCGCTCTGGCTATTTTTGGAGATAGGGTCTCTCAAAAGAGCTATTTGCCTGGGCTAGTCTCAAAGCTCTGGCCTCCCAATCTCAGCCTCCCAAGTAGCTAGGACTACACGTGTGAGCCACTAGCAACTGACAATATTACACATTATTGAATATAACTCAATTATACTAATTCCAGAATCTCTGTAAAATGATTAGCTAGAGAATTAGAGGAAAAGAGCTTTTTGTACCTGGTAATAATATCGAAGAACCCAGCAAAGTCCTTCAACATAAGATTGTACCACCTTACGACGGAATTTCTCATCAGCTGCATCGACATCAAATTTATTCTTGTAGTACCGTTGCTTCCAACCAGCTTCCCATAACCTAAAAACCAGGCAAAGCCAGGTTATGTTGAATACACTGGCTGTAGCATATTGTCTACTGATTTATATCCCAAAATCAACTGTATTTAATATCCAGGAGAAATAGGAAGGAATTGAATAGTAATGCTAACATAGATTTCATTTAATTATTTCTAAAAAGTCCATTTCATAGGATTTATAAACTTAAAGACAGTCAAACATCAAAAAGCCTAAAAACTGATTGTGGTAAGACCATCACAAAACTACATTTTAAAAAAAAGAGCATAATCATTTGTTAAGTACATATAGAACACGTGTTTGCTCCAATTTTAACACTGCTGTACATGTTTTGTTTTGATTTTTTTAATGTGCAACAACTCTAAACTCTTTTTTGGCAATGCTGGGGTTTGAACCCAGGGCCTTTTGCTTGCTAGGCAGGCACACTTGAGCCTCACTTTTAGCCATTAGAAATGACTTTTTAAAGCTGGGCGTTGTAGTGTACCCCTACAATCGCATGCATGTGGGAGATTGAGGCAGGAGATCAAGAGTTCAAGGCCAGCCTAGGCTACATAGTAAGACACTATCTCAAAAAACTGTTGGGAACCAAAAACCACAGTCTGACAAGGTCACTGTAGCTTAGCAGCATTCCAACAAGGTCGGAATCTGCAGGTGCACCATGTCTCTATCACGGTGGGAAGGAACGCTAAATGGTTTCCCTTGACTGAAAAGAAATTTATACTTAGTCAAGGACACTGGCAGTAAGAATGCAGGGTGGTCAAAACAGAAAGGCTGTAACTAGGTCAGAGTATTTTTGATGTTTAAGTCTCTTCCTCTTTTATATAAAGCTTGCTGAGAAAAATAAAGTTTAGCTAGTTGGTCATCAGCCTTCTGGTCCTCTCAATTATGTGTCTTGTCTGTTCATTCCTATCTTGAGCCCTTTGCAGGTTTAAGAACCTTGCAATCCTGGCAAAAAACAAAGAAAAAAATCCCTAGATTTTAATAATTAAATACTGAAGACATTTTATATAATTCAAGTTCATTTTGTTAAAACTATACAAAGAAGGTCAAGTAACTTACTTTTTTAAAAAAGTTAATTATTCTAAATGTAAAAAATTGGCTTACAAATAATGCAGGAACCAAGGAGAAATTATGTGTATACCTGCTCTATCCTTGCTTGTACTTCATCCAGCTTTCAGCTAAGAACTGTTGATGTATTAAAGGAAGGGGACTGATATATAGAGAGGTACACATTCTACACCACTATATTCTCTCCCTCTGTGTATGTGCTTTTGTCTGTGTCTATCTGCCTGTCTGTCTGTCTGTCTCTCTCTCTCTCTCTCTCTCTCCCCCTCCCCTTCATGTATGTACTGGTAAAACCCAGTACATGTCAACTACTCCACCGATTATCATTAATCACTGAAAATACAGTGTGAGGAACCACATTTTCACCTAAAGTGTATGCTTTTTTAAGCATCTATTTTCATTCTCTAAAAGACTTAAATATTTCATTCAAAGAACATGAGAAAGACAAAGAATGCTTTAAGTGTATCAGGACCGATCAAGAACATCATGATAATTCTCCATTAATGGTTCTTTTCAACATGTGCCAGATTTCATATTAATTGTAGTCATGTTTCTGAATACACCATTATCAGTTTTAATCCCTGCCTCCCCCACACACACAGTAAGGATTTATAGAATTAGGAGAAACAGCCTCTATCCATAACATAGATTGTCACTGTTTTAAAACAAAATATTGATGAAATGAATACTAAGAGTGCCAAGCATTTCTTGGTAGAAGCAGTTCTACCTTGATTATTCTAGGTACCACGATTAAACAATAAAATATAAACAAATCAAGTTACATATTAAACTACTAAATAAACAAAGCAAAAGCATGCTCTAAGAGGGAATCCAGCCTTACAGAAGTACAGATAGAAACTAAATGTAGATCAGGTGTTTGATCACAGGCCTACATGTGGATTTGACATCAAAGGACATTAGAAAAATGCAGAACCATTAGGACACTTGTGCAGTTTCTAATCCTAAACACAAACCATACTTTCCATATCCTACAAAAGGAGCATGAGCTATATAGGCTACCACTGTCTAACTCTGAGAAATATCATTTTCTAAATCTCCCTCGCCACCCAGGACTGAGGATGAAACCCAGAATCTTACACATTCTAGGCAAGCACTCTGACACTAAGCATCATCCCCAATCCTTGGTTTGAGACAGGCTCTCTGTAGCTCACGCTGGCCTCTTAACTCTCAATCCTCCTGCCTTCTGTTTCCCTAGTACCAAGATTATAGATGTGTACTACCACAACTAGCTCTTAAATTCTTAATGACCAAAAAATTTTAGATTGTTGGCCTTTTGCACTACGAGCCCAGACTTAATTATATAAGACGCTACTAATTTTACTGCATAATGATCCCAAACTTCTGGATCAATTAAAAAAAAAAATCTATAAATTTCACACATACAGCTAAAAGGAAATTCCTCATCATGAAATGAAATGGTGCATGTGCAAGTTTGTGAGGTTTTTTTTTAAATTCATATTTATTTCTTAGAATGATTTTTGCAAATTTCATTTTGAGGAAGAACCTTTTCAGTCAAAAAGATGAAAGCAAGCTACCTTACTGTCCAAGTGTAACTGAACTTTCTAGGCTGAGCAGCTTGAAAATTTAATCTCTAAACAGTAACATTCAGATCACATCATCAGAGCTAAACACCTCGTGTTAGCATTGTGATCTAGTGCCTGGTCTCAGAGGGGAAAGTGGCTTGGAAGATGAAAACCTGCACGCATACTAATCTAGATACTTGGGCCTAACAGCTATAGCTTACGCATCTCACTGGAATTTATACTGACTATTCTAACCCTCCACATTAATTACTGGTGGATAAAAAGATCACAGGCAAGCATCTGATGGCACTGCTGCTCTAAGCTAAATAGCATTAATTAGACCACATGTATTTCAGCAATTTGCTAACAGAGTGCTACCAAAAAATGGCTTCACCTGACGTTATCCTCTGGCTCTGGTTCACTGTCACTGTCTTCTGCTTTTCTCTTAATTCCTCCTATTGGAGATGGAGAGCCATCAGATGTGAAACTTGTATTAGGAGATACTGAAGGACTCTGCAGACAATTATGACATTATAGAAGGATTTCGTTATACATTTCACATAAGAAAGTACATCCAACTTCCATTACCTACCATGCTTCATGGGATACTTTTTTTTTTTTTAAAGCTAGTAATAAATATGGTAAGTATATTTAGAAAGTACAGACTAATCTTGCCCCATTCCACCCTTCCTCCCCAAAGAGTAATATATACCAAGCTTCTTATGCTTAAGCCCCAAAGATTTAACATTATTAAGAGAAAACTTGCTTCAGAAGAAAGAAGAAAATTTTAATTTTATACATATTTTTAAATTGTAGGACTTGAATTTTGTTTCCCTTTGGTGGTTTCCTCATGATTTTTATCACAATCATTTTCCACTTATTAAATAGTAAAGTTCTTAAAAGAAAAAAAAGGCAAAGCTATAAGGCAAACATACACATAATATATAAACATATATGTGTAATAATACAAAAATAATGATAGATATAAAAGTCAATGCCAGTGAGAACATATTCAGATAATAAGTGTTCCACCAAGTACAACCATTCTACAAAGCAACAGCTTAACAAGGGTGTGCCAAATAACGATTAAAATTGTTTTACATGTACTATTTTAAAATTCAATGTATAAGCCAGGCACCAGTGGCTCACATCTGTAATCCTAACTTCTTGGGAGGCTGAGATCAGGAGGATGGTGTTTCAAGGCCAGCCTGGGCAAATAGTTCTCAAGACCCCATCTTCAAAATAACCAGAGTAAAATGGACTGGAGGTGTGGTTCAAGCAAGTAGAGTGCCGACTTTGAAACACAAAGCCCTGAGTTCAAACCCTAGTTCCACCCACCCACACACAAAAAAATCCAATGTATAAATAAAATGTATTAGTCACCTTAGAAAAAAGATTTTTATTAATATTGCAAAGACTTGGAGGACACTTTAGATTAGCTTCCCTTTGCGCAAAATTCAATTAACAAAACGGGGCCTAAGATATTCTATATTTAATTTAAAAATTAAAGGAAAATCTTCTGCGACTTTAGTGAAGTTAAATGGCCCAATGACCAAAACAGTAAGTGGCAGAGAACATTTTCACAGTAGAGTTTTCCTTCTTTTATTCACAGCCTTTCAGATATTTCAAGTAAAGTGAATATCTTAAAATTGAGAGCTCACAAGGCTATTTTAATGATACTATAAAACCTTAGCATGAAGCCAGTTCAACCATAAGCCAAGTTAAAACAAAGCAATGTTATATCTCACATACAACTTAAAGCATCTTCCTTTTGAAAATGTATACTGTTAATTTTCTTCAAGATAGTGTACACCCAATACAGTCAAAAAAAAAAAAAAACATTAGCTCAGAAAGGCACTGTTGGACTTACAAAATGAGGCAGGTTATTTTCACTCAGATAATCAGTCTGAAATACAAGTCCAACTGTTACTGGATGCATGGGCTGGCAACTTAGCCTTTGTGAGTCTCATCTTAAAATGGGATGATAATGTTCTATCTCTCTAGAGGTTACTGCAAGGAATAAATGAAGTAGTATCTGCAAAAGATTATTAACTAGCCTGCCGCTTGCCTGACACATATAGTTTGGTTAGCTAATCAGTAAATCATCACTATTACTATTAAAACCTTACACTAATGCACTTGATTAAAATATAAGGGTAATACCTTTATCAACAGTCTAAGTACAAAGAAGTTCTATACGTTCTCAAATTGATTCTTGACTTACAAGATATAATCTCCATATTTAGATTTTAAAAATAACACATTTTTAAGAAAAAAAAGAAGCTGTTTGCCATTTAATGCTAAATCTGTGCTACCTTGCCTCAACCAATAAGTGTATTCTTTTCTGAACATACCACATTCACACAAATTCAAACAAATTTCTTTTTAAAATGCTGTTTTATAATTACACAAATCCTATTAAGAAGATGGCCTCAGTTATAATTCAGAATGTAAACTTTAAAGCCACATATGAGGAAATGAAGCTATCTAGTAAAATGTTAACAATGCTGACCATCAACGGAAGTACTAGAGACTACTACTATGCCCAACACCTCAGAAAAAATAAAATTGCAAATTTCTGTAACTTTAAAGTTCCCTTTAAATGAACTGATAATTTGGCTTCGTGATTTGAGTTCACATTCTAAAAGTGAAAATTCCACTACGCAGACTCTAATTCCATACCTCTTCAATACAGAAATAATTACGTTAAGAGGGATTAAGATGGGATAAAATAAGCAACCTAATTACTGATCTTCTCATTCCTTCTCCCATAGGAAACAATTATTGATCACCAGTCTAGTCCTACAGATCTAATCCTATGGAGAATGAATATTGGAATCTTTCTCCAAACAATTACAATTGGCAAAGTTTAAACGTACACACCTCACTGAGATTAAGAAAAAAGCACTCTATCTTCAACGGGTATTTGAGAAAATCAGTCACTCTCAGTTCTGCTCTGCAGGTATGCAGTCATATAATCTTGAATAGGGGATATCAGCTTTTATGTTCTACTCAGCTATCTCACTGCAACCTCTTTTCCTTGACCCACCATGTCCTACTCTATTGGCGAGATAAAAGAACAAAACTCAAACAGAACAACAAATACAACAGAAATCCAGGTTGCTTCTCTCAAGAGATGCAAAACTTTACTTCTCAAATTCCAAATTTAAAATCCTAAAACTTCTAGGCGTGATTTGTATGAATACAAGTTGAATCAGTGTTCTGATATAGCAAAAATTCCACATGCATAGTTGCCCTGTAATAACAGATATAAGCATCAACAGGAAAACTATCAGAGTAATAAAATTTAAATATCCAAACTGATGCAATTTCCTTGGATATAGCATAGCAAAAGTGTACAAAACTGAACCTTCCATATCCTTCCTTCTTCTACTGTAACTGTCTCTTCCCTCACACCTGGTGCTCATGGCCATTGCTATTATAACAGAAAGCTGGTAGACCAAGGTCAGCTTGGCTGACTGGCTAGATTTTTTTCCCCACTGCGGGTTAGATTACAAAGCAAGGAGGGAGACACATAGCAAATCCATTCAGGTCTTGCATTTACAAACAGGAAGCAACAAGAGTTTGGACAGTGAGGGATACCTTAAAATATTTATTTGGAATTATTCCATGCCTGAATTGGAATTGGAATTGAATCGGAATTGGAGTATTTGGGCAGTGAAGAGTACCTGCTTTTGATAGCCTAAAGAATACTATTTTGCAAAATGCCTATAACAGATCCCTAAGAAGAAAGGTAACTAGGGGAGCAAAATATGCCCTCCTCTCTTGCCTCAGCTGTGAGACACTGGGATACCCCAGTCATGCTTCTAGCATCATCTACCATCCAGTTCTTTGAGGCAAGGGAAAGCACTATGTACCATGTGCATCACAGGAACACTGCAGCCACTTAAGATTTCTTTATAATCTTATGTACTGATTATCCCACATACTTTTCTTTCACATCATTTAGGTATTTCACCTTGATAAAGATGGATTTAATAAAGTTAAAAATACCTCAAGGCAAAAAAAATTGAAAAAAACTATAAAACAAAACAACTCCAGGCTAAGTGATAAAATTCAGACACGCAACTCCAAGAGGAATCTAATGTTCATTAACTCTTCAATGCACATAAAATTGAGCTACTTACAGAATTGTTCTGCATCCTCATTTCATAGGCTGCTTGTCTGGGATTACTGGTTACTTGAGAACCTGGTGAATTTCTTGCACCCAAGGCATGAGGGGTTAATATTCCACTAGGAGTGAAAGCTGGTTGATCTCTCTAACATAAAGGAAAATAAATGTAGAAATTAAAATTAAATCAGAACAACACAGTTAGAGGACAGGAAGAAAAGTGGGCAATGGAACAGAGTACTTATTTTAAGTGTTAAACTACTGAACTCACTAAAAGACCAAACAGATTTCCATTTAACATTATAGTCAAACTACAGTTTGACTTGAAAGCTATATAGTCTGTAATATTTAATAGCTCTACTTAAAAGTATATACAATATACTGTTCTAACATATAGAATCAATTTAAGTCTCATATTGCTAGCCCACTATTTGTTTACAATTTTCAAAACATTCAAAACACAAAGTCAGACAAAGAAAATAATGTAATAATAAAGGTAAAAAAGAAAATGTCAGAGCTGGTGGAGTGGCTTAAGCGGCAGTGTTTGCCTAACAAGTGTGAGGCCCTGAGTTCAATCCTCAGTACTGCTTTAAAAAAAAAAAAGTCAAACGTGATTTACACTTAGGAAAAACAACTTTTATTTACCCATAACCTTGCTAAGATTTAACTCTATTTCCAATTAATGAGAGCTGTAATTATAGCTGTAACAGGTAATATTCATGGCTGACTGATAAAACAGATACTGACTAAAAGAAAGTAATAATATATAAAGTAGAAGTCAAATATGCCCCTCCTATTCAAAGTAGTTTTGAACCTACGCAACAAGCAACTCAACTATTCTCATTTCTAGTTTCCTGAAATTGCTCAACTCTAATGAAAGGCAGTCCCTAAACTCCACAACTTTGTAAATCCAGTTGAGAAGACAAGAAAAACAAAAACAAAAGAAGTTAAATGACTATAAAGCATTATGCAATTAAGTACAAAAACATGTATCACAGCAGGAAGCAGAAGAGTTAAGAGAAAGGATTGTTCACTCTATAGTACTAGAAGCAAAACCAACAAGAAAGGCCTTTTTGGCAAGGCATGATGTGAGTGAGTGGCAAGACAGGAATCCATTTGGAAGTAGTGAGGCAGGATAGATAGATGAGACAGGGAAATTTAAATTAATAAATATTAATATTTAATTAATAAATTAAGGTCTAAGTCATTAGACTCAGGCAGTAAAAACTAAAAAACAAACAGCAGCAAGCTTCCCTCCCATCACCCTCTCTTAGACTTTAGGTTACAAAGACAGACAGACACAGAAAGGCTATCTGCATCTGCCTTCCCCTTTGAGACCAAGAAGCTGCAGGGCTCAGTGAAGGGATTAAAAACAGAAAGAATGAAAAGCATACCTTGCAAAAGGAAGTCCTAAAGTTCACCTATTGTTGCCAAGCTTTAAAATAAGAAACAGCACCCATCTAGCCACCCAGAACCACTGTCTAATGATTGTGGCTGTTAAAGGACTTGACATGTGTTCTCCAACTCAGAAAGTATGAAGGTCACAGGTAAGAACCATCATTTTGAGTCTTTACTCCTGTTTCCTGCAGTTGGGAGTAGGAAGTATTTCTCCCTTTCTTCTCCCACTTCTCCCTACTACATCCTTGCTAAAACTTTCTCCTGTCACGAGACACCTTGAAATGCTTTTCACATGAGGAAACCTGGAAACTAAGAGAACCCCCCCGCCCTTGCCATCCCTCATCCAATGACAGTAACAAATGATGGCAATATTGAGTCAGCACAGACATGTGTATGAGAAGGATATAAGCTGGACAGCTCGAAGGAAACCACAGCAGAGTACTTTGAGCACCAAACTAAGGTAGAACTGGATTCTGAAGGGATTAATGTCAGAGATGATTTCAGAGAATGGTAACCTCAAAGTTTAGCGTATCATGCTCTAAAAGATTAACCTGACAAAGATGTACTCGTAACTTACAAGAGAATACAGAATTGACTGCTTTTATTACAAAAACAGTACCTGACTATTCTTAATTAACTAGGTGTCATTCCTGCCCATCAAGTACATCCCCGACTCCATAGCTGAGAAACAGTTTCTTTAAAAAATGACTCCAGGCCAGGTGCTGGTGGCTCATGTCTGTTATTCTAGCTACTCAAGAGACAGAGAAGGCAAAGCTAGCTCAGGCAAATAGTTCTGGAGACCCTATCTCAAAAATACCCAACACAAAAAGGGTTGGAGGAATGACTCAAGTGGTAGAGTGCAGGCATTGAGGCCCTGAGTTCAAACCCCAGAACCACTACCAAAAAAAAAAAAAAATTAATTAACAATAATAAAAAAAGCCAGTATCCTTTTACTGAATAAGGAATAAAGTTACTATAAAGAATACCTTATTCAAAAATTGCATCTATTGGTAATCTCATGAAATTAATTAAAACTCACCTTCATTCTCTTTCTTTTTTCTTTCTGTCGTCTTCTAAAACTGTCCTAAAAGTATAAAATCCACATAGTCTGTCAAATAATTACACAAAAAATGTCAGAGTTAAACATTACCAGGAATGATTCAGGAAACCATTTAAGTGTTAAAGGAAGATGCCAACAACCTAGGTACATGATTAAACAAGGCAATGGACTATATGTTCAAAGTGCTGCTTATAAGAACTTTAGATCAGAAGAAAGACTGAATTTAAATACAATTGTTTTTTCTTTTTTCTTTTTTTGACATTTCAGGAAAATGCAAGTGCTATGCCATAGACCTTGGTTTTACCCTGGACAGCTGTCAATGTGGAGAAGATACAAATGAATAAGAAAACAATTCTCAAGTTTTAGCTGAATGTAGTTAATAAATAAGATAATCATTTTTTTAAATAATCTACAAGACAATTTAATAGACTGTTAGATTATTAAGGATTTGATAGTTTTCCTAACTGTAGCTTCTGAATAGCACAACAGAAAAAAGAAGTGGGATTCTGTAAACACTAACTCCTAGTTTCCAAAAAGACCATCAATAGACAAAAGAAAGGAAAGCATTGCTTATTCTAGTCCAATTTAGTTCGTATTAGAGTCAGTCCAAACTGATTCTTTCCATCCACTCATTTTCAAGGGGAAAATGATTTCAACTGGACAGGACTTTTGAGTTGATCTTGCTTCCCACTAATTCTGGGTCATGCCAAGGTCCCCTCAGCCCACTCTCTAGTTTCCCTGGGTATCACTGCTCTGTGAGGAAAGGGGTTGAACACTGGATACACAAAGGTACATAAGTGGAGCACAGGTGACCCAACTATTTTACTACCTATGATGTAGAAACCACTATGGATTTTGTTGTTGCTGTCTGTACGTTTTACAGTGCTAGGGATAAAACCCAGGGCTTTGTGCAGGCTAGGCAAGTACTCTACCAACTGAACTACACTCTTAGCCCCCACTGATGTCTTTAATTATGCTTTGTCCCAACCTCTTCAATGAAATGTCTCTTATCTAGGTCATCAATGATTTGTAGATTGTGAAATCTATTAGTCTACTTTCAGTTCTTGTCTACATAATTCTTTCTTCAAATCATTCTTGTCACTTGGCTTCCAGAACACTGTACTAACTGTGCTTTCCTCCCTCCCTCCTGCTTATGCTTTACCTAATGCACCAACTTCTTAATACAGTGTTTTTCCCTTGGGCCCAGAACTTCCACATCTTTACTTTTCTCCTCCCATGGGAGTGATCATTTGGTCTCCTGGCTTTACACACTATCTTGTATGCTGATAACTTTCCAAGCAAGACCTCTCTCCAATCAACATTTCCATCTGGGTACCTCAAACTTAACGTGTCTAAAATGGATGTCCCACCCCCACCTTAAGCTCTCCCTCCAGATTTTCTCTTAAGGGTGCTCAGAATATTATCCAGCTTCTTAAAGAGCCTTGGAGTCACTTTTGACACCTTCTTTTCTATCACACTTTAACTTTAATCCATTAACCAACCCCATTGGTTTTACTGTCAAAACATGTTTAGTACCTCTATGTCTCCACTGCCACCAACTGGACTTCCCAGGGTTGCTGCAAAAAAGCAGTGACCCTTCTTTGGGCTTACCACTTCCACCTTTGCCTCCATACAGGTAGTCAACATATGGCAGCATGATCCTTTTATAACATATGTCAGTTCTTGTCACTTTCCTACTAAAAACCCTCAATGAAACACAATGAAAGTTAAAATCCTTACAAGTGCCTGGTCATTCTTCTGACCTCATCTGTACTACCATCCTTGGACCTCCCCCTGCTCCTATCATACCACTCCTTACTGTTCTGTGAACATACAGGGTTTGCTCCTGGTACAGAGCCTTGCCACTGGCTATTCTCTTGTTTTGCAGTGCTCTTCCTTCAAACATGTGCATGGCACACTCAAAATCCCTCAGCTCTTTATTCAAAGTCATCTGTCAATGAGGCCTTCTCTGGTTACCTTTTCTAGAACTGCAACTCCCTCATTACCACCTTCCCAGATGCTTCCTCGCTGCTTTATCTTCATTGCACTTACCGCCTCTACCACATTACAAGATTTACTTGGTTATTGTGTTCATTGTCCATCTCCCCCAGCTTGTTGCTATATCACTAGCACTCAGAACACTGGCACATGTTGAATACATATTTTTAAGATAAAAACCAACCATCAAAGCTCCTATAATAAATAGCAACATACTTCTGGCCTAACTGTTCAATTTTAACAAAAAATATTGATGTGTTTCTTTCCAAGTCTGTTGTGGTCTATTACATAATTACTTAATAAGAGTTAATAGTCATACATTAGCTGACCAGCATATGGAAGGTTTGGCTCTTACCAATCTTTCATCTTTTTTTTAGTGATATGAGCTCCTCTGGAAATCTGTCAAAAGCCATGGACACACTTTTTACAAAAGTGTGTTTTTACAAAAGTGTGTACTCTAAGAAACTTTCACAGTGAATTTCTGAGGGTTTCTCCTGATGCCCAGCCATGCTGAATGACCATGATATGACTTCAGGGACACCAAAAAAGATCAAAGCTTTAAAATGCCCTCTTCACCAGATCAGTTAGAAACCATATTAATTAAATCTAAAACACTACATTAGCTATCAAATCCCATACTTTCCCCTCTAATGTTAAATTATCATCAATATTAAATGGTATAGTCTGGAAAAGTCACATATATGGGCTGTTCTAACATAGTTTTCATAGCAAGTAGCAATACAACAGTATGCAGTTTTCTGGAAAGCAAAAACGGCAGTAAGTCAAGTGAAACCACTATAATTGTTGAAGACTGAATTAAAAATGGCTGCTCCAATAGACTGTTTTTTTTTTTTGTCTTTTATTTTTTTGGTCCTGGAATTGAACCCAGGGCCCCATGCATGCTAGGCAAGCATTCTACCACTGAACTACATCCCCAGCCCTCCAGTAGACATTTGATATTCCCAAAGCTAGTTCTATAATTTGAATTTTATGTGTGAAAACTCTTGCTGTCACAGAAAGACTACCTAGTATTGAAAGCTTTTGAAAATGTTCACAGTCGACTCACTGTGTTACATAAAATGATAACCAAAGTGCTAAAAATAAGATCACTAGAGTTACAGTAACAAGAAAGAAAATCTTGTCTTTAGGACAAGATTAGGACATTAGCAATGCACCATTATAATTATACTGCTATTTGCTCAAAATATCCATATGACTTCTTATAAAATCAGCTAACGAAAGGATAGTTATCAATCTAAAAAGCTACTATCTGCTCATTTTGCCCAATCTGGACCTCCCCTGCTACTCCCTTCAATGGCCCTCCAGGCTGCTATCCTGTACTCCCACCAGCTCCCCAAAGCCTCCCGCTCTTGGTCATGAATTGATCATCTCACTTTGGCCCCTCAGGCAGCACCAATGGCTTCTCCTCTCTTTAGGGATTTCCTTTCACCTTTCTAGAACTGGTTTCTCTTTCTCCTTAATGATTCATGTTTTCTGAGGTCTCTGTGGGTGGCACTTTCACTCCATACAAGCTCCCAAAGAATTCTAAGTTCCCATTCACAGCTATAAGTACCTCCCATAACTAAGGTTTTCAAAGCTCTTTTTCAATACTTTTCTCTTCTCAGGTAACCTATAATCCCTAAACTTAACATCTCCAATTCCTACTTCGTCCCTGCCCTAAGTCCCTCCACCCCCCAGTGCTTGCTAACTCAGTGTGTGGCATCAGCAAATTCCTAACTGCCCAAGCCAGAAACCAGGACTTTTTCCTGAGTACTCACTCACCACATATAAACAACCTCAAAGTGCCTTTTTATCTTAGTTCCTTCTTTTTATGTTTCAATTTCTTACTTAAGAGCTGCAGGCAACCTTCTACAGATTCAACATTCTTCCAACCCTTTGTCCCAGCTGAAGCAATCAAACCCAAACTCCTACATTCAATTCCTAGGTCTTAAACTGTCTTCTAGAGCATACATACTCCTTATAAAACATAACAGCCACTGGCTCAATGTCAGCATTCTTCTAGGCTTAGAACCCTCATTTCATATTCTTTTGGTGAGACAGGTGCTTGGATTTATATCCTAATTAAAATTATGAAGGAGGAAAAATTACAATGTAACTCAAATGGTGTGCAATACAGTTCCACAGAGAAAGCAATCAAAGCACCGATGCTCACAATTACATTAGTGTTGATACACTACAATGATAGTTTCACATACTCAAAGAGGTTAAAAGTACAATCACAGGATCATCACAGCCTATTAGAGACAGGGGCAATTTTAGCTACTGCAATAGAAACACTTTACCTCATCATCCTTTCTCTTTTTAAAAATGCTATCCTCAACTTCACCAACTGCTAACATGATCATCTGTACTCTTTGCAGATTGACATAACCACTTTCTGTAAGGTAACCCTGTAAGTGATAAAATACATGTAAAATGATCTTCTTAGAAAAGCAAACACTTCTGTTTTGAAATTATTCAAGAGTCAACTTACCCCAGTTTTGTGCACCACGTTTTTGTATATGTTAACCAAGCGGTCAATTGCACCTTCCCTGACACCAGGAGACAAATATTATGCATTAGGACCAGTAGACTCTGTAAAGAAAGCTAAAACAGTATTTGTAGGGGGGGAGGGAAATCATATGAATGCACATACCTAATCTCTAATGATGGCAAGTGAGGAAGAAAGTCATTTCCTACAAAGAAGCACATAAACACCCAGTCATCAATGCTCCTCTCCACATCGAATGTAAATGGTAGGCTGGCCATGGTGAGTTCTCTTTCCAAATACTATAACCAAAAAAGAATACTACCATTAATGCTATTAAAAGGGACCCAGATTTAGGATTGTTAACTCCAATAACTACTGATACTTACCTCACGAAGAACATTCAGCCGGAGGAAGATAAACTCTCCTTCTGCACAAGGAAGACTATCTGCAAGTTCATCATGCTGCAAGAATAGGAGTGGAGATTAAACAAGTCTAGTCTAAATCCTGTAATTTTTTTTCCATCCAAGAAAATTTAAGGATTTTCTAAAGCAAGATTCATTTAATGTTAACTAGTACTAAGATTTAAAAAGCTCACCAAACCATTCTAAAATAAAAATTATCTATAAATCCAATCACACCTAGACTAAGGATCAGCAATTATTTTCTCTGAAGGACCAGAAAGTAAATATTTAAGCCTTTGGGGGACACATATAGTCTCTGTTGCATAATCTTTCATGTCTTTTTTTTTTTTTTTTTTTAAACAACCCTTTGAAAACATAAAAATCACTCTTAGCTCATGGGTCAAGTCTAGAGGATTGTTAGTTTGTCAACTCATGACCTACACCCAACTGATGCTAATATTTTGATGTACACTTTTAGTCCCTTCTTAATGAATACGTATGAAAAGATACATGTATATACTATTGCGTATCTGAAGTCATCTTACATTTCTTATCTGTTTTCTATTTTTCCTCTTTATACCATATTCATAAAATAGAAACCTACTTAAAGGCAACTGTATATAACCAAATGAACCCAAAATGCTAGAAACTGGGACTAACTTAAAAAGTACCAAGAAGTTTTAACATTATTTGATTTGTAATTTGAAACAACTTCTAAAAAGGGTATGTAACAGGCAGTATTAACTATGAGAACTTACCTCATGCAGACATAGCTTATGTTAGAAAAAACAAAGTGTAACAAATAAGTGTGTGCATGCTTTTGAATACACATTTATTTTAAAGGGCTTTTAAAAGGTCAGGCACAGTGGCTCAAGCCTATAATCCTAGCTACTTGGGAGGCAGAGAAAGGGAGGATCATGGTTCAAGGTCAGCCTGGACAAAAAGTTCATGAAACCCCATCTCAACCAATAAAAGCTGGGCATGGTGGTACACACCTGTCATTCCAGCTATGGGGAAAGCATAAACAGGAGGATCACGATCCAGGGCAGCCTGAGTTTAAGGCAAGGCCCTATCTGAAAAATAACCAAGCAAAAATAGCTAGGGTCACAGCTCAAGTGGAAAAACGCCTGCCTAGCAAGCATGAAGCCCTGAATTCATTCCCCAAGTACTACTCCACACTCCCCAAAAAGATACTTTAAAAGACACATCTCGAAGGGGTGGCATTTTAAGAATGAGGCAGCTGGAATATACTTAGTGCATACTCAAAAACAGTTAAAATAGTGTATTTTGTGTTATGTATATTTTACCATAATGAATTTTTTCCCCCAAGTGAGGCAACTACCATCTTAAAGTTCTTACCTTTCCCTTCTTTTCTCTTGGCAAACCTTCACAATCCTTGACTTCATGTCCAAATTGATTACAAAGACCACACGGTTTGGGTTTGTTTGGTTTAAATTCTTCTCGAATAATGGTAAAGTTGGGTTCGTGTGTAGCGAGGCCAAGCATAATGAGATCAGCTACGAATCAATAAGAATAAAAACAATGAACAATGAGAGCATCCTTACCATAGCAGAAGTACTACATCAACAGATGGAAAAGCCTCAATGAGCAGAAACAGAAACATCAAAAACAAAATTTTATCCTAAAACTTTCTGGCAGTTTTCAGTCAACAAGAAATTCTCCAGATACACGGACCAGATACAACAGACAACCACTAAGGATTAAACAGTTAGGAAATTTCCCATTGTAATAATATGCACAACTATATCATGGATTAACCCATTACTACACACCAACTCAACTATTTATTATGGTCAGCCATACAAGAAAAGTAAATTCCAAAGGAACTTACCATCAGCTCCACATAAACAGTGATGAGTGTTTGGGTCATGGTTAGGCTGGGCTAAACAGGAGAGAAACATGTTTATATAAATACACCGTACACTTATAGGAACATCACTTCTTGCCAATATTTTCTAGTCAGTGGCTTCTTTTATTTGGGAGGTGGAATTGGGGGAGACGGTACTGGGGATCAAACCCAAGGCCTTGCACATGCTAGTAGGCAAGCACTCTACCACTAAGCTACATCCTCTCTCAGCCTAGCTTGTCTTTTTATTTTTTCCATAAAACATAAATTAGTGAATTTTTACCTCTTTGTCTTCTAATGTAATCCATGATTTTATGTTCTCCTTCACCAGGAGCACTAGCATCAGATAAAATAACCTATTAAAAAAAGTTAACACATTCAGAAAGACAAAGGCTGCATGCTTTTTTCTCATATATGGAAATTAGATCCAAAAAATAAATGTATACACAAAAATAAACATGATCATATACACATTTACAGGTAGAACATGTCTGTAATAGTGGAACAACTATATGGCACTTGGGAGGAGGGAAAGGAAAAGAAAATGATAGTTAACAATATCGAAATGCGTTACATCTGTGCAGGTAGAGGACATGATGACATGTACTGAGAACTACCGAATTATTCAGGTGGAGGGAGGGAACGGGTAAGGGAGAGTAACAGACGGGATTGAATTGAACAGGGTAAAGTATATTCACAGCTGGGATACATCAAGAAACCCCTTTGAACACCGACTTTGAAATTAAAAATGAAAGGACTGTAAGAAAAAGTGTGTGTGTGTGGGTGAGTGAGAGAGAGAGAGAGAGAGAGAGAGAGAGAAAGGGGATACTTGTGGGAGGGGTATGGGTGAATGGAGGAGATGAAGTGAGGGCATATAGTGATGGGCTTCATATACATATATGAAATAGAACAATGAAACCTCTTTCAATTGCTTCAAGTGGGGCAGAGAGGGAGTAGAGGGAATGGTGAGGGTGATTTAACCAATGTATAATGTAAGGCTACTGGGAATTGGTACAATGAATCCTCCCTATACAATGAATATATGCTAATAAAAATGAAAAAAAAAAGTTAATATTTTAAGCTCATCCCCAGTTTTCTACTGGCACAAAAAAAAAATGGAAATAACCAAGTATCTTAGGAAAAACAGAGACAATTCTATTACTACAATATTACTAGGGGGAAATTTCTCTGAATAAGGTGGGTAATAAGTACCAAAACTGCTTCACTGATTAACTTGCTACATGGAATAGAAAAGAATGAAATATCTAAGTCTGACTCAGTCATCAGAAACACTGATCAGCTCACAAGTTTTTACTTTCACTACTACCTAAGGATATAGCATCAAATCATATAAGCCCTAAGAATAATAAGATACCAATTAAATATAATTTACATGCCTAATTAAAGGGAAACAATTATGAATAAAAGTTCACTTAAATTTTACTTATATTTTTATGAGAACATAACCATTTTGAAAGACATTCATATATTTTGGTATCTAATAACAGAAATTTATCTAAAAACAACATTCACATATGTATTTTAGAAATTATGAATCCCATTTTATGGTTTCATAGTGCTAGTAAGAAAAAACTGGCATTGAAGGAAAATTCAGCTACATAAAATCTGACCACACAAGGTACCCCATTTTCAACAATCTTGGAAGCTTTTCTTTTCTCTGACAGCTAACTAGCATTTTATAAGGGGGGAAAAAGGATAAATAATACCAGACATATCAAACTGCAGCCTCAAATGATCACTTTAATCTTTCTGAAGTACAAAAATGTGAAACTTACCGTCAAATTTTTCCACCCAGGATCATTATTTAAACGATCAGCTATGTAATAGCGAAGGCATTTAGCAAGATTGTCCATGAACTCAGTTCCCTAAAATGATAGAAAGAAATAAATTAACCTATCATTTAAGAGTTAGCAATAGCTAGCAAAGTCTGAGACTACTTACTGGTGTAATACAGTTGCTGTCAAACCTTTCTTTTATTTCTTCTGGAGGAAGAAAGCCACCTACAGAAAAGACGCAATGTTTGGTTTTTCCAATAAGCAAGACAAATTAATCAACATTAAGCCAGAACAGTAACAATGAAAAATTCAAATACAAAAGAATGAAACTGTTATCTCTTAAAGAATAATGCTCACCTTTTTGGGGAAGAAAATAAGGTTTTCCTCCTTTCAAATTCAAATTAAGCTTTGATAAGACAGGCAAACAATATATGGTACACAAAAAATACTATGTGTTGTTACAATATAGCATTTTTATAATTTTATGTTACATAAAAATTATGAAGTTGTTTCTCTGCAACAGGAGAATAACCCCCGCCCCCGGGGTTAAAGGTTTAACTTGATAATAGTAAAGATACAGGTGTCATAGAAAATGAAATCAAGATGCTGAGTTTATCACAACTTTTTATAAGAATTAGAATTATGCGCTAATGAAATTAAAATCTTATTTTTAAATACCATCTGTATCATTGATTAGCTGCTTTCCAGGAAACAAAAATACTTCACAACATCTTCAGAAAAGAAGATATCGTGGAAATAACATTCTGTCACAAATACAAGCAGGTTTTAGATTCTTAATTACAAGCTGTGGCTCAAATAACTATATACTTGCACACTTTCAACAAATTAAAATACTGTAATAAAATTTATCATAATTGCAGGCTATGGCATCTTTTTTCCAACTGCAAAGTGCAATTATCTTGACCCAATGAACGTGGCTTTCCTGATCTATTAAACTGCCTTATGTAGCAGATACTAAATAAATCACTCTGCTACAACCATTCATACCTCACACCTAATGCACAGGTGGGTTGGGAGAGAACCAATCCCAGTGAACATCAGCACCCTCTACTTTCCCTTCCTCCTTTCTGAGTCTTAATCAGCTCCTACCTAGGTATCCACCAGTAATTTAAAGGCTTTGGGGAGCTGCAGTAAAAAGTAAAAAGTTCGCTTCAAGATACATATTCTCTACCTTTTGCCAGTATTTCTTCCCTGACTCGCTGCTTCTCAACTGCTGCTTCCATTCCTTCCTTTGATGCTCTGAACCTCCTTGAACGCTGCTGGTTCATTTTAGCACGTGGTGCCTGAAAACAAATATTTCATATTCACATGCTATTCAAAATATTCACAAATAAATATGTACATCATTTTCAATCAGCTGTTCTTATAAAAGGAGTACACTAAAATGAAAGAAAGGGGAAGTACTATGTCTAATAGTACTTTCATAACAGGCAAATTTAAGTTCCTGAGAACTTTAATTGCACCGAGAACCTAAAATCTGAACTTGATCAGGTGAGCAAGAGATGTAACAAATGAACCAACAGCCTATGAAACCACAGCAGTTCATACAGCAAAAGGCCACATTCTAATGCCAGTTCCCCTGGGTTAGGGTGGTCCTCTAAGGCACCAAAGGAGGAAAGCTCACTTTACTCAAAGACTCAGCCAGTGTTCAAGCAGCAGTTATTATAGCCCCAGGATGTCAAGCAGAATCATACTGGAGTAAAGTCAAAGATTTTCTTCAAGAAATTTAGCTGAATTGGAATATGCTCTCAACAAGACATACTCCTATTCTCTTTTACTTTTCGTTTCACTGTTAACTATAATTATGGGGTAAGTATGATTGTTCACTGAGTAAAAAGAACCACATAACTAGGTATGGTGGTACATGCCTATAATCCCAGCACACTGAGGCTGAGGCAGGAGGATCCAGAGTTCCAGGACAGCCTGCGCTACAGCCTAAGCAAGATCTTGTCTCAAAAAACCAGAATGAAACAAACAAAACAAGAATTACAAAGAAAAAATAATCTTGGATTCAAAGTTCTCTGGATTTTCAAAATCCAGGACTATCAGGATGTACTGAATTGAAAAGAAAATCTACTTGTCTATGGTTAATAAGTTCAGGATTATGATTTATCTTCATTTTCTTACACCTTGATATTCATTTTAATCACTACTCACTACATACAGGATACAATCCAAATTTTTGTGTGTGACAAATAAGGCCTTCCCAAATAATTGCTCCACATTTCAAACCATACCACTTGCAGTTATCCAAAAGTACCAGAGTGCCTGAAAGGTCCTGCCTATTTTCATACTTATCCCCTATCCATGCCCCACTACTGCCCACCAATCTCCAATTATTCTTCATCCTTAAAAAAAATGGGACAAAAATTACCTTCTCTGTCTCCTAAGTCCCACAGTAGCCCTAACCACCTCTTCCCTCAACACCCTGCATGTGTCATCTAGGGTCTATATGAAACTGAACTCACTTATGGATCTATGTATGGTCTCCCTCCCTTTGATAGTAATCTCTTCAAAAGTGATGGCATTCATCAATATCTGTTGGTACAAAATAAACACTAAAACATGTTCGAATGAATGAATGAAACATGAGGCTTTCTTTCTAAATTCACCACAGTCAAAGTTTTTCACTAATTAGATGACTTTCATTCTAGACACAACAAAAACAAAAGAGGTTTCTAATTATTTTAGCACTTACCACTCCATCTATTGCCATGTAGAGAAGCCGTCTTGGTCTTACAATATTGAAAAGTCTGTCAATGTACTCAAAAATTGCAACCATCATTTCATCTTCATTTTTTGGTGCTGGTCTATAATGACATGCAAACAACGTAATATAATATAGTACTTGCTCTGTGATTGGTGCTATCAGTAACAAAACAGGTTACATACTTGTCTTCAGGATGAGTGCAGGGGTGGATAATTCCATTCATATCCAAATACAGATTATCAAATTCCACATCATTTGGATTAGGCTTACTGGCATCAACTGGAATCTTTACACCATTGCATTCTTTTGGCTATGAGGAAGCAATAATTAACAGTAGTTTGTTCAGGTCTAAAAATGACAAATCCTAGGCACAGTATCAATCTGTTTTATTTCTGAACTGGAAATGAAACACTTTAAATAGCCTTTAAATTATAAGATAGAAAGTTATTTTATTCTTTGAAGCAAACTGAAGCAGATATTTCATCTACTGAAAGTAAATGGCTTCTAACACAAGTTAATTTTGACAAAGTGGGGTATTTTTATCAAACTCCCAAATCATTCAGTTATCATGGGACTAATCTTAAAATTCATTTCCCTCACCATACAAATCAATAAATCCTGTCAATTTAACCTAAAAAAAAATGCCTCCCCACTTCATCTCCCTTATTCCCACTATCATGAATCATCAGGTTATCACAGTCACAACCACCTTCCTGTAGACTGCTTCAGTGGTACACTCCTCTCATTTCCAGCCCACACTGTCAATTCTGTTTCTAACACACAATTGAGTCTGTGTCTTAATCCTGCCTAAATTTTCCAATGATTCCCATAGCAGGTGCTAACTAGTGAACTTGGACTAGTCTCCTGTCCTGTCATAATATTGTTGAAGTATGCTTGATCTCCCAAAAGTTCCTTTCACCTCTCAATGCCTTGTCATAATGTATCTCCTTTCACAATGCCTTCTTCCTCCCTATCAACACTTACTTCCTGAAATTTTATTCATTTTCCAGGGTCCAGACTCAGATCATAGTCATTCGATTTGTAACACCTTATACACACACACCCCTTCTAAGAAATTACTGTCTCCTCTTGCTGCATTTCCTTACGATTTTGCTTATTCTCTTATAGCATTTCCATAGTTACATATTTGTCATTCTACAGTGTGAGTTCTTCAAAAGGGCTTACTCACTCCCAGAGGTACTCAATTATTTTTGTAAATATTACCTTTGTCTTTTTTCTTCCAGAGCTTCAACAAAAGATTAAGATCATAAGATCCAGTTTTTACTATTAAGTAAAAGTCACTTTAAATAACAATTCCCCAAACACATACAAGGCAATAGCAAAAAAAGCTGGAAACAATCTAAAAGCCATTCTTGTATAAGCTACATCACAAATAAACCTCAAAACATGACACTAAGTAACAAAAGACAGTCATAAAAGACCCTATACAGTATGATCCCACTTATATGAAAAGTCTTAAATAGGCAAACCTAGATTAATGGCTGCTTCAAGCTGAGGGCAGAAGAAGGGTGAGAAAGAATGGAAGTGATTGCTAATGAGTACAGCATTGATTGGGGGCGCGATGAAAGTATACTAAAATTATATAATAAAGACAATTACACAACTGTATGTAGACTAGCAACTACTGAATTGTATACTTTAAGCAAGTGAACTTAATATTTGTTTTATCTCAAGAAAGCTATTAAAAAAAAAATAAAAACCAAAGGTCAGCTTAATTGGGGGGACGAAAAATCCATCAAGAAGAAAATTATTAATGAACTGTGGTATGTCCATATACTGGATTGCCAAACACAAATGATATCTGAAGAACAAGAGCTGGATGGTGACAAATATATGACTGAGCCAAAAAGCAAGATCCAGAAGAATATATACAATATACCACTTACAGAAGTTACAGAACAGACAAAATAATATTAATATTGTTCAGGAATGAATACATATACAAGTAAGGCACGGAGAAAAACCAATTTCAAGAGTGATTACCTTTGTGAGGAAAGGAAGAGCATGGAACTAAGCTTTCATTTTTATTTTAATTGAGGAGAAAGGACATTAAAATGATTTAAGGACAGAACAAAGAAATTAGGCAGTGTTCTGTACATAGATACTGTGAATCAAGCAAAGGGATCTTGATCAGAAGCAGTAAGTGGGGAAGTGGCAAAGAAAGGAGGTCAATTATTCTGGTCTATGGAATATAATAGCTTGATGACCCCCAAACAAAAACAAACTCTAGTCAAGAGGTTTTCTGCCTCTCCATCTAACCTCTACACCCCCAAATCTACATCTTCCTTTTTCCTACACCTAACAGCCTGGTATGGTCACTCAGGAAAATTAAGACCTATTCTTTGTGCCTTCCAAAGAAAACAGCATCATATTATTAGCCGTATGATCTCAGTAGCAAACTTAATCTGCTTGCATAGAATGAAAACAGCCATAATCAATATATACATGAATAGATATGTCTGTGTTTCATAAAAACACTGGCAGGCTAACCCCTGTCTAGGATCGCACTAGAAATACTCCAGCTCTTCAATGAATTCTGAATGTAACTGCATGAGAATTTCCAGTCACTCCCACTATAAGAACCAAACATTTTCTTCTGAAGAGCTGGGCCCAGGCCTGTAATTCTAGGTACCTCGAAGGCCAAGAGTGAGAGGATCATGACTCAAGGCCAACCTGGGCAAAAAGTTCTGATGATTTCATCTCTTTAGGTATGGTAGCCTAAAATAAGAGGATGGTGGTCTTGGCTGGCCTAGACAAAAAAAAGACCTTATCACAAAAAATAGCCAGAGTAAAAAGAGCTGGAGGAATGATTCAAACTGAAGAGCAACTGCCTAGCAAGCATGAAGCCCTGAGTTCAAACTCTAGTAGGACCAAAAAAAAAACAAAAAAACAAAAAAACAGTATAGACATGTTGAACACATTTATGTAAATTTGAGACGTGGTCTCATTATGTAACCCAGGCTGGCCTTGAACTCCCAATCTTCCTGCTCTGCCTCCCCAAGTGATGGGATTATACCACCACAGCCATTGAATTATATAAATTTAGAGCTCCTTTCTTCAAGAGATTTTGGTGTTCTACAAGGGAATGCATTCCACAAATTGTAGCCTTGGCAAAAGCAGTACCAACTATCATCTGTTAAGAGAGATCTTTAAGCAATCAAAAGGTAGCTAAAACAAGAACCACTCTGTGGGAGAAAATATTTGCCAGCTACACATCAGACAAAGGACTGATAACCAGAATATAAAGGGAACTTAAAAAACTCAATTCTCCCAAAACTAATGAACCAATAAAGAAATGGGCAAGTGAACTAAACAGAACTTTCTCAAAAGAAGAAATTCAAATGGCAAAAAAACACATGAAAAAATGCTCACTATCTCTAGCCATAAAGGAAATGGAAATTAAAACCACACTAAGATTCCACCATCTTATGATGTAGCCATCATTAGCAACACCACCAACAACAGGTGTTGGAGAGGATGCAGGGGAAAAAGGAACCCTCTTACACTGCTGGTGGGAATGTAAACGAGTACAACCACTCTGGAAAAAAATTTGGAGGCTACTCAAAAAGCTAAACATTGATCTACCATTTGATCCAGCAATACCACTCTTGGGGATGTACCCAAAAGACTGTGACACAGGTTACTCCAGAGGCACCTGCACACCCATGTTTATTGCAGCACTATTCACAATAGCCAAGTTATGGAAACAGACAAGATGCCTCACTACTGACGAATGGATCAAGAAAATGTGGTTATTTATACACAATGGAATTATATGCAGCCATGAAGAAGAACGAAATGTTATCATTCGCTGGTAAATGGATGGAATTGGAGAACATCATTCTGAGTGATGTTAGCCTGGCCCAAAAGACCAAAAATCGTATGTTCTCCCTCATATGTGGACATTAGATCAAGGGCAAACACAACAAGGGGATTGAACTTTGATCACAAAATAAAAGCGAGTGCACAAAAGGGAGATATGAGGATAGGTAAGACACCTAAAAAATTAGCTAGCATTTGTTGCCCTCAATGCAGAGAAACTAAGGCAGATACTTAAAAGCAACTGAGGCCAATAGGAAAAGGGGACCAGGAACTAGAGAAAAGGTTAGATCAAGAAGAATTAACCTAGAAGGTAACATACATGCACAGGAAATCAATATGAGTCAACTCCCTTGTATAGCTATCCTTATCTCAACCAGCAAAAACCCTTGTTCCTTCCTATTATTGCTTATACTCTCTCTTCAACAAAATTAGAGATAAGGGCAAAATAGTTTCTGCCCGGTATCGAGGGGGTGGGGGGAGAGGGAGGGGGCAGAGTGGGTGGTAAGGGAGGGGGTGGGGGCAGGGGGAGAAATGACCCAAGCATTGTATGCACATATGAATAATAAAAAAATAAAAATTAAAAAAACAAGAACCACTCTGAACCCCCAAACCAATTCATTTCAAGTAACTTTTCATTATCTTTTGGGTTCTCCAAAAGACAAACTGAGCACACACTGCACCCCAAGATCATATGCTGGGTGTTGAGGTACATGCCTACAATCCTGGCACTCAGTAGCAGTAAAGCAGGAGGATTGTAAGTTTGAGGTGAGCCTGGGCTACATGGCAAGACCAGTTAAAAATAAATAAATAAATAAATAAATAAAAATAAATTTTAAATTGTGCAAACATTTTAATTTAAGACTCTTGCCTAGCACGTACAAAATCATGAGTTCAAACCCCAGCCATACAAAAAAAAAAAAAAGTGTAACCATGCTGGAAAACCAGAAGCAGAACATCTTGTGGCTGAGAAATTCTGAGAGATGTCTGTAATATGTCGAACCAATAGCTCTGACTAAAGGTGGAATACAATACCTACAACATGGTATAGGAAAGATGCCGCCAAAGGTGAGTGAAAACAAAAAGGGTCCAGAACCAGAGAGAGGGTTCAAGAGATAGCTTCTGGATGACCCATCAGCACCAATCCTCTTCCTTCACCCATTCAGGCCCAACTACCTCAGGCAACTTGAGACAGGCATTCCCAGAAAATACGGGAGCCTGGGTCAGAAGGACAGTATAGTGCTCTGGCTGAGTAGCAATTCCTCAGAGGAACAGGAAGCACCCCTACCCAGAAGGCAGTTAAGTCAAGGTATGTCTACTTAGTAGGAAGCCAATTCCTCCTCTACTTCATGGGAAAAGGAGGGGATAAATGTATCCTAAGTAGGCAGTTCAAACATTATTGTATTTTTGCATGAAGGTACAAAAAGCTAAGATGAATAAGGAATGTAAACAGGTAATACAAACAGTGAT